TTTCTCAATTTAAACCTTTGATATGTCATCTATGTTGTATTCTGAATAAAATATTGAAATTTGAAACTTCCACATCATTGCATTCTGTTTTTATTCACAATTTGTACAGTGTCCCAACTTTTTTGGAATCAGGTTTGCATATTTTATTTTTTTTATTATTATTTTTTTATATCAAATAAAAATCAGCACCAAATAAAAATGACTGCAACTCAATTTATGGTTTATAAAATATGTTGAGGTATACCTATGATGAAAATTACAGGCCTCTCATCTTTTTAAGTGGGAGAACTTGCACAATTGGTGGCTGACTAAATACTTTTTTTCCCCACTGTATATATATGTGTGTGTGTGAATAAATATAAAGTCATTTTTATTTGGTGCAGATTTTTATTTGATGTCAAATCTGGGTACCCCGTAATCTTACACATTAATGGACAAATCTTATCTTATTTAATTTAATAAAAAAATGGTATAATACTGATTAGGCATCTATACAGATCATTTCCATGTCACTTATACTATACTGCGTCGCGAGTGTGCTGGATGATTACTGATGTACAGCAGGGTAATCATTTCGGAGTAAAGTGGTTAGGGGAATGTTATAATAATGTTATGGGAACATTAAAATAATGTTCTACAAAGCAAAAACGTTATATTTCTGTTAAAGGGTTAGTTCACCCAAAAATGAAAATTAGCCCATGAAGTACTCACCCTCAAGGCATCCTAGGTGTGTATGACTTTCTATGAGACGAATCCAGTTGGAGTTTTATTAAAAATTGTCTTTGAACTTCCAAGCTGTTTAATGGCAGTCAGCGGGTGTTGCAGTGCATCAGTCCAAAATAAGTGAAATAAAGTGCATCCATCCATAATAAAAAGTGCCTCACACGGCTCCGGGGCGTGAACAAAGGCCTCCTGTAGCAAATCGATGCGTTTCTGTAAGAAAAATAACCATATTTAAAACGTAATAATCACTTTAATCTAGCTTGCGCTCACTGTTGTACACGGAAGCAGTTCTGGTAGAATGACGTATGAGGTCGGCTTTACGCATGCGCCGCTCAGAAGTGATGAACAAGGAAGCGGAGAGATCGAAACAAAACAACGGTCACGAATTAGAAGTACAAAACAAGGATTTGTAAAGTAGAATGTTGGAGGATTTTGATAAAAGCCAAGATGAGACTGGTTTTCCTTTACAGGAGCAAAGGAAGCAAAGTCTCCTTACTTTAGCAAACAAACGTTGGTTTTCACGAGACTCACCGGCGCATGCGCAACGCCGACATCTTACGTCATCCTCCCGGAGCTGCTTCCCTGTACAACTGTTAGTGCAAGCTAGATTAAAGTGATTATTATGTTTTGAATATGGATATTTTTCTTAGAAAAACGCATCAATTCGCTACAGGAGGCCTGTGTTCACCCCCTGGATCTGTGTTGGGCACTTTTTATTATGAATGGATGCGCTTTATTTCACTTAATTTGGACTGACAAACTGCAACACCAGCTGACTGCCATTAAACAGCTTGTAAGATCAAAGACCATTTTTAATATAACTCTGATTGGATTCATCTGAAAGAAGGAAGTCATATACACCTAGGATGGCTTGAGTAAATAATGGGCTAATTTTCATTTTTGGGTGAACTATCCCTTTAAGAAAAC